AAATTTACATGCCCATAAGCACTCACTGGGTCAAAAAGGGTATAAGGGTACATGAAATCAGAAGAGGATTAGTGGAAGGAATGGAGGATGAGTACAAGTACATGTAGGAAAACACCATGAAACCTATTATTATATATAATTAATATATGTAATTGAGACATTTGAAAATAAGATGAATAAACTAGTGAATCTTTAGATCTTTATTAAAATGGATCAAGTGTAAAACTGTTTTAAGAGATTAGAGAAGTGAGGGGTGTGCCTCATTGGTAGAGTTCCTGCTTAACATGTAAGCCCTGAGCTTACCTTCTAGCACTGAAAAAAAGGAGGGGTATTAAAACCAACTAGGTTTCTGATGATTTAGAGAATTAATTTTGTTAAGTGTGATTAAAAAAAAACTGATAGGGAATGAATGTTTGTGTTCCTTACATTCACAGTGATGCTCAGAGGAAAGGCTTTGAGAAGTATAGTCACGTGCTATTGAACAATGCTTTGGTAACCAGAGAACATGTATATTGTTCCTAATGTTATGACATAATGCATCACGTGTTTGTGATGATGCTGGTATTAACCAACTTCCTAAGTAGCTAGTCATATGAAAGCATAAATACAGTTGATAAGACTTGAAAATGAAAAAAAAAATCCAACAACTATGCTACTGGTTTACATATTACCTTGCATACTTTATTATCAGAATCTACTCCTCCATATAAATCAACTACCATGAAATAATATACCATATCATATCAACAGCAGCTTCATGGCACACATCTCATGTTTATAAAGTATCTGGATTGCATGAAGAGGCCACAATAAGTGGTTGGGACATATGCCATCTATGTTTGTGTAAGTATATGTGATGATGTTCATGCCATGATGAGATCATGTAACAACACATCTCTCAAAACATATATTCATTGTTAAGCAATGTATGAATACAATTAGGTTTAATAATGTCATGAACATGAGAACTCTTGGGGGAATTACTAGCATGAAATACACACTACTTTGGGAACTCAAAAATGCAGGGGGGACCTACATTTGGACTTCCCAGTCTGTGAGAAACAAATGTATTTTGTTTAAACTATCTATTCTGTGGAATTTTATTATAGTAGCCCGAGAAACACAGCAGCATTAAGGGTACACTTAAAAAATACAGTTATATGTTGAATATATGTCAAAATAGACATTTACTATGGCTAAAAAGACAGAAGATGAGACTTAAGATGGAAAAAGAGTTGCTTATTATTGAAGCCAACCCCTTCCTCTTTCCACTTCTGTTTCAAGTTTACCATAATAAAAAAAATAAAAGTGTTTATCCTATAGGGGATACTACAAGGGAAATGAATGGGCTGCAAGGTAATTTTTCTTATAAAAATAATGCATACCTTTCTGCAATGAAGTTTGACTTGACTCTTCCTGCGTATTATCTTTCTGAGCACTCACAAGATCTGCAATTAGAACCTCAAGTGACAGATAGCTACTCCCAGATGTTTGGATTTTTTCTTCCATTGTTTTCTTAATGTCCTTGAAGCTAAATCCCATCCGTATAGCTTCTTGCACCATAGGATTCTGGAAGATGGTATCATCTGAAATCAAAGTTGGATGGAGAAAGAACACAGTAGAAGTATTTTCATTAACACAACTAAACAGTAAAACAGTTTAGGGATTTGAGACTATAATACGGCTGAAGAGTTCAGAGGTAGAAGGTTTGCCTACTATATGTGTTGCTGTGGCTTTGATTCCCAAAATTAAAAAGAAAAGCAGTGGTGGTGCACTCAGGAGGCAGGATCAGGCAGATCTCTGAGTTCTAGGCTAGCCTTCTCTATAGAGAAAGTTCCAAGATATCCAGGAAATCTTATCTCGAAAAACCACAAGAAGAAGCATGCTACAGAAAAACAATTTCTTTAACTTTGTTATTTATGCATGCTACCAAATCCATTCCAAATAATATAACACAGCTGTGTATTTTAAGTGTATTTCAAGAATAGTTGTAGTATTCTCCTGCCTTGTAGTTCTTGACACACAAAACAGATGATGGTACAGCATTAGGGAATAGGGACTCACCAGATACTGTAAATTAAGCTTTCTTTGAAACATACTGCTTCAACTGAAAAAGGAGATCTTTAAAAAACAAAACAAAATCCCACAAAAGACAAATCAAAACTCCAAAGAACACCAATGTCAGGTGTTGTGGTGCACACCTTTAATTTTAGCACTCTGGAGGCAGAGGCAGGAAGGTATCTGGGGGTTTCATGCCAGCCTGGTCTTCAAATTGAGTTCTAGGACAGTGAGATACATAGAAAGACAGTTCCACACCACCACCACCAAAACCCTGTACATAATCCCACTAAAAATTACATCTACAATATGCTATGAATTTAGAAGACCTTGTTTACACTGCTAGCTCTATTAACAATTTATAATAATGCATGCCTTTAATTTGGAGGCAGAGGCAGGCAGATCTCTGTGAGTTTATGGTTAGCCTGGTGTACAAAGCAAGTTCATGATAGTCAGGAGTACACAGAGAAACCCTGTCTCTAAAAACAAAACAACATGAAACGAAACGATACCATTGTCGTGGGTAGATCACATCACCTCTTTGTTTCTTCATGGGAATGTAGGAATAACTGCTGAGGTGCAGCTCAGGGTACTTACCATTCACTGGGCTCAGTCACCAGCACCAAACAATAACAAATGCCATGCTTTAGCTACATGTGGGGGTACATACCCACAATCCCAGCACTAAAAAGACTGAGGCAAAAAGAGATAGGTCCAGGCCAGTCTGGCCTACACAGTAGATAGACTACTGAGATGGCTCAGAGGCTAAGAATACTGGCTCTTCCAGAGGAGCTGAGTTCAGTTCCTGGCACTCACATGGTGGCTCACAACCACTTTTAACTTCAGCTCCAGTGGATCTGACACCTTCTCCAGGCACATACATACATATATATATATATACACATATATATACACATATATATATATATATATATATATCTCACACATATATGAAGGATGAACACTCATACATATTAAATAAATAAATGAAAAATTAAAAATATAAACTAAACTTCTAATCTTTGTTGCTTTAATACATTTTCCTCCCTCCTTCCCTTCCTTCCTTTCTTAAAACCATGCCATGGAACCCAGACTGATCACAAATTCAGAATTCTCCTGCTTTAACACTGTGAGTGCTAGGATTATAGATTTGTACCACAGTACCTAGTTTTCTATTAACATTCTCACTACAAAACTATCTGGTGTAAAATTATAAGCACTTCATTAAATTCTTAAATTTATAGAAGCTTCATTAAACATACTATAATAAATTGGCCACAAAACTAAACAGATTTATTTTTAATAAGCATATTTACCGATTTTTTTAGTTAGTGATGGCATTTTTTCAGCAGTTCTTACCTAAAATAGAAATATGAATGGTAAGAATTCACTTTAGCAGAAAGCAATTATCCCAATTTGAAAAGTTAATAAACTTAAAGCAAATTGGCTTTATTATAATTTAAAACCTTACTATTCATAAGAGCATAGCCTAACAAAATGGAAGGAAGGTAAGACTATCAAATCATCACCCCTTTACAGACAAGAAGCTGAGGGCCAATGAGATCAAATGACTCCCTGGAGGGAACAAACAAATACCAACTCAACTAAAAGCTAAGGGTAGAACTGTCATGTCCACTCTAGACTCCCAATTCAGGACAAGACTCTTCTTAGTTTACTAATGCTCTGACTGCCACTTCCTGTGTGTCAATTCAGACACATCAGCACATCTTTTGTCCTAGTAGAGATTGAACCCAGGGGCTTGTTTATGCTAGCCAGAAAAGGTAAAAGCCATGTATATCTCTATCATTATTTTTGCAACCTTAAGTATTATATAATCTTCTAAAAGGTTACTAAAGAGATAGCTCAGCAGCTGAGAACACCTGCTGCTCTTCCAGAAGAGCAGAGCACAGTTCCCAGAATTCATACCGGGCAGCTTATAACTGCCTGTAATTATAACACTAGCGCCAGGGATCTGATGCCCTTTTATGGTTTCTTCAGGTACCTGTTCAACAAACAGTGTGTATATGTATGTACACACACACACACACACACACACACACACACACACACACACACA